ACCTTAGGCCAGTTAAACCAGTGTATATGATCAAGTACTTAGAGTATCTCGCTTTCTTTACATTCATAACTTCTTCAAGACTAGTAAAGTTTATAGAGATGCACACGAATCTGTGAATGACGATTGTCTGCACCTTACTAATTCATGTTAATTTATTTTTTATAAGGTGTTATTATCTAATATTTCATCTATAATTAATTATAATATGCATACCTACCTTCTTAACTGATGGTTATACTTATACTAATGTAATTAAAAGTAAGTAAATAATATACTCATCTATGTAATGTTGAATGTTGTAACCATTGAATATTTAATCTAAGTAAAAAGTGTATACATTTTCTTATTTTGGATTGACATTCATTGAAAAAGTGGAATTTATGCCTTATCTATAAACAACTCACCTATATGTGTATCACTTATTTTCAAAGAAAGTCTAGTTAGCAGTTTTTTCATGTGTATTAGAATTGGCTTTCTTTTTTGCTTGTTATCACTTTTGTATTCTACGGATGACTTTATGATAGATATTGAAGTTAAAAAAAAAAGTAAACTGTTCAACTGTAAGAAATGTCAACATAGACTATTTCACTTATCATTGATTTGAAATCAGTGATTAAGATCTCCTTGAAGTTTCCTAGAACCTCAATATTTGTTGTTTATTCTATCATATAACTTTGTCTACTGTGATATCACTCCTTTACTATCCACTTATACCTTATGTTCTACTTTGAAATATGGTAAATTGAAACGCTACACTTGTGTACAACGATTGCCTATTGGTAAATTGAGCATTCCTAACTATTGTCACTGTCGAGAACACTTTTTTTATTCTCATATTTATACGATTATGTATTTCATTTTATCATTTCATTTCCTAAAAAAAGGTAGGTTGTATAATACAGTGTTCATGCAACAGAGTGTAAGCAGCGAAAAGATTCATGACGCTAGAAGATTTGGATTTCGCCAAGGATGATGATTTACATCTAATGTTTTAGAAGGGAATATGCATTCTGAATTTCATTGGTTGCCACTACAAGATAACTTACGTTAGGCTACTGGTTGAAACATCTCTTCACCAATTGAGTTTTGTACAGATGTTTTATTATCATTGCCATTACCGTTCTTATCTAACTTTATCATAGATGTAATAATTGATATAGCTGTCCGTAGGTACATCTGACTTCAAATGGATTAATCTACTCCCTGAAGGTTATCTGTTTGACTTTGAGTATGTGGATGATATTGTCGTGCTAGGTGATGATGCTGACACAATGTAGGGTCTTCTGTACACTTTCAGCAGAAATATGAGTGTTTTTGGTACATGTTTCACTTGCATGTGTGATAAGAAGTGAGGTGGTGGAATGTGTCGACCACTTCTCACTTACTTGCAGAGTTGCATCATCTCGAATGCGTTGGTTATTGACTAAATCTCAGCATGGATACAGAAGGCCAGTTTAACACTTGCCAACTTGCATCACCTGTGATGCTGACTGGCGAGATATCCAACTATCAATCAAATGATGAGTATACTACTCTACAATCCGTTCTGTCCTGATATACAGTTGTGAGACACACGGCCATTAAAAGTAGAAGATAAGAAGCAGTTATAGGGTTTTGATCACAGATGTGTTTGTAGCATTGCTGGCGTATTCTGGAATCGCCGTGTGAGGAATGTTGAAGTGAGGTGAAGGGTACTTGACTAGACAGGTATGTCGATCAATGAGGTTGTGAACCTTCATGAAATGAGATGGCTTGAGCATGTACTGCACATGTCATATACCAGTTGACTTGATGTGGCATGTAAGATGAAGTTGGATTAAATTTGGAAGAGGCTTCATCGTTGCCAAATCAATACATGTTGCCAATCGATGAAGTTGTTGACTGTTGGAGTCTGGGTCATGTGGGGGAAATGTAAACTGTCTGGGTGGGGTAGATGTATTCACTTCTAGACATCTAAAGCTTGAATATTCACACTAACCGTTATTCTCGAGCACAACCTTACCTACTTTGATATCACTCATTTTCTGTGCAGCTATTCTTTATGTACTACTGCAGGATGAGGTGTAGCAACTTGAATCCATCCACTTTTGTGTGAGGTTCTACGTTAATTTTGTCAATCAGTGTCAGTCAGTCAGCCAGTCAGTTAACATCATGAATATCCTTTACTACTTTGCGTAAGTAGTTGTATATGGTTATTGAAATACAAAAAGTAGACTCGACATTACAACAGTCTGACGAATGTCATCAATAATAATGATAACGAGAATAGTAATAGTAACTAAACTGTGAGGAGCGAGGAGATGGGATATGCTGTTTGACCGATGAAAAGACCGTAGAAGATTTGGATTTCGCCAACGATGATGATTTACATCTCATGTCTCATGTTGCACAAACTCGAAGATCTACAGGCGAAAACTAACAAATTGACAGAAGAGGCGAGGTGGTGCGGGGCAGCGAAGACCGGACTTGCTTCAGGTGAACGTAGAGAAGACCACAAGTGATGAAGATACCCAGCCAACCAATCAACCAACAACAACAACAAGCACCAATCACCATGATCAGGAGAAGTCTAAAGGAAGTTATCTCTTTCACTCACCTACCTAGACAACATCGTTTCAACTACGAGGGGCACATGTACAAATGAGGATGTGAAAGCCAGCCATGATCGGAAAGACAGGAAGACAGGCCTTCGTGGATTAATGTGAAATAATAATCAGTGTGGCGATCTGTTGCAGTGTACTGTACTGTACTGTACTGCACTTTATTCAGCATTGATCGTGAACAACATCCGTATTTTGAACAGTAACTGAGTCAAGTAAGTCAGTGCTTCTATGTGATGTTTGGAGAAACTTGGTGAGTAGTGCGAAAAGCATTTGGAACAAAGTGTGGACATGCATGAATAGCTGTGGCCTCCGCTCACTCGATAGTGAAGATGGAGACCAGATGGGTAGAATAATCATAAGGATAAATAAGCGAGAAGGAACTGTTGCTGTGTGGGAACGAAGCAACCAACTGAGAATCTATCATGCGAGGAATATGTAGAATAAGAAAGTGGAGATGAATTGGATTGGATTGGACATAGACTGAGAAGAGTGTTTTGGGACATGATGCGTCAGGTCAGGATAGGCCTGGCTGTCGAGTGGAAGGGAAATTGGAGACGATGAGTTGGGGGTTGGAGGCGAGTGTGACATGGAGGAGATGGTGTGAAGAAGAAATGAAAGGTTATGGGGAGTGGTGGAGTCAGGTTGCAAGAGAAGACTGGAGAGAAGAGAGTGAAATGATGATGGCTATGGCGATGTGTTACTGAATCCATATTTTCCACTAGGAACTCAAGGGATAAATAATAATGACATTTATAATAATAGTCGTTACTAAGCGACATAAAAGACAATAAAACATGGTCAATACCTTCTCAGGAATAAGTAATCTCTGCAGTACATTCTTAGAATTATTGCTTCTAATGAAAAGAAAAACCATTAGCTTTGTGACAGGTAATGTAAAGTGGATTATTGAGGAGTAGACATCGATTAGTTTAGTTAATGTAAACATGAGACCATGGACACTAACGAAGTGTCGAAATCAACATAGAACTTTGCACACAAGTATGTCGGTTAAAGATTCCACAATTTACTGTAGAACAAAAATAGGTGAATAGACAGAGAGTGATATCAAAGCAGATAGAGTTGTGTCAGAGAATAGTGCGAATATTCTAGCACTAAAAGACATCAAATAGTGAATACATTTGTGCCATTGTGACCGCTTTTCAGTCATATTGCCAAGGGTCCTCAACCACTGATTCCTATTATCTCTACATCTCCTACACGACTGATCCTACGTATTGATCTGGCCACCCTAAGCGTTCTTCCTACCTAGTCTAACTTCCTGTTGAATGGCACATCGACGGAGGTGGTGACTTGGCATGCGTAACACATTGTGAAGCTATATCAGTTCAATAAGGTGTACAACCTCATCAATCAACTTGCCTGTCTTGCCTGGTACCCTTCACTTGGTCTTAAAATTACTCTTATATCCATGCCATCTTTGTTGATGAATACTCACGACCTGTTCAACTCATTTCCATCAAGATGGAAGGCAAATCTGAGTGAACCATAAGGAAATAAGGGAGAAATTGATCAACATTCAGGAAAACTCTTAAAAAAATAGGAAGAAGGAGTAAAACGATGATGAATTTCACTTATAACGATATCTTGCTGCATACGTTGAACTGAGCGTTGGCTCTAGTTACCTTATTGATCTCTTGTTGATGTCCTCCTAGTTATATATTTTGTACAATTTCATTTGAAGTTTTGTATGCTTCTACTGGGGTGACGATTGAAAGTGAAATGAAAATATGAACCACGATCAGATTCGAACCAACGACTACCCGGTTTCCAGCCCTATGTTCTACCAACAGATCTGCGATGTAGAGCATATGGCCGGAAACCCCGTAGTCACCGGTTCGAATCTGATCGTGGTTCATATTTTCATTTCACCTTCAATCATCACCCAGTATTAATAATACTGGCCTACTAAAACACGGCTGCTACCTCAGATGGTCAAAATGATAAGGAATATGATTCACTCCTTTTCTAATTCAGTTAGATCAGGATTTGGATGAGAAGTCCTGACTAGGCAGCAGCCAGTATAGGAGTACGATCAAGTGATAGTAACCCATCACGAATTCATATAGTAATCAGGCAAAACTCCACCTTGATATTCAAGTGAAATATAAATCTGGTGAGGAGTCGGACCTTGCAGTTCAGTTGGTAGAGCATCGGGCCGGAAACCTCGATGGTGGCTAGTTCGAATCCGGTTGCGGTCCAAATTTCATTTCACCTTCAATCATCACCCCAATGTAAATACTAATCTGTCAGACAACGGCTACTAGCTCGAGTAGTCAAAATGATATGTATGTTTCATCTTTTAATATTTTGAAAAAATTTATTATCTAGCTGTGCTTAACCCGTTTTTCGCCCTCTCCTCCTTTGTTTTCTATCTAGATTCCAAAGATATTTGATCTGTTTGGTAAAAATGGTGGGGCATCATCATGTGAGTGCTTTTTACTGGTATTTCCTTGTCATCATTTACATACCTTATCATTTGATTGAAGATATGACATGTATATTATTATTATTTGTCCCTTGGGTTCCTAGTGGAACATACCGCTTCAGTAGCACGTCTCTATTCCACTCTGTTCTCTGCAATCTTTTCAACTTGGCTCCATGACTGCCCACGAGCTCTCATTTTTTCCTCACACAATCTCCTCCATGTCACCCTCGCCTCCAACGCCCAAATCGCTGTTTCCCATATGAATTCCACTCGAGTCCCTGGCGCGTGATATCCCCGAGTGGTCTTCTCTGGTATGCCCAATCCAATCCATCTCCACTTCCTTCTGCATCATTGTTGGGTGATAAGTTCTTGGTTGGTTCGTTGCCGTAATGAGTTCCTTGTTGCTTATTCTTGTTATTCTGGCCATGTGAGCTTGAGTAACGAGCCAGTGTAGGCAGTTGTTGATGAATATCTGTAGTTTGTTGGAAATGCCTTTCGTAACCCGCCAAGTCTCTGAGCCATAGAGAAGCAGTGACTTGACTGTCGTTGGTGTTGAAAATCCGGATGTTGTTCAAGCTTTGTGCTGAGTGAAGTAGATCTCCACACTGATTATTTCAGATTAATGAAAGCCTTTCTTGCTGTCTTTCCGATCCTCGCTGCTTGATGTCCTCATCTGTGCCCCCTATAGTTGAAACGATGCTGCCTAGTCAGGTAAGTGAAAGAGACTACTTCCTTTAGGTTCCCCCGTTGATGGTGATTGGTGCTTGTTGTTTATGCTGTTGTTGGTTGGTTGGGTATATTCATCACCTCGGCCTCCTCTTCATTCACTTGAAAAAAGTCCCGTCTTTGCTGCTTCTTCTGTCAATTTGTTAATTTTCACCTGTAGATCTTTGAGTTTGTGTGACATTAGACACAAGTCATCGCCGAAATCTAAATCTTCTAGGATCCTTTACCCGGTCCAGTGTTTCCCCTTCTTCTCGCTGCTTACTGTTTGCTGCATGATCCATTCCACCACAATCAGGAATATCATGGGTGATAGTAGACAGCCTTGTTTTACTCCCTCCTGTCTTCACTTCAAAGGCATAACTGAGCTTTCCATTGTGAATTACTTGGCATATGGCGTCTTCCCATAGTTGTTGAATGAGATTGATAAAAGTTTTTGGTATTCTGTAGTGTTGAAGGAACTGCCTGTCAAATTACTTGTCGGTCGACGCTGTCCAAGGCCTTTTCAAAGTCGATGAAGTTGAGGTGTAGAGTTGATTTCCATTCTATACTCTGTTCTATGATGATGCTTAGTGTAGCGTTGCAATTTGGTCCGCACATGATTTGCACTTCCTGAAGCCAGCCTGACTGTTCCGGTCCTAGTTTTGAATCGAGTGCATCCTTTAGACTCTCCAGGATGATGTGACATAGTATTTTGCTTGGGGTGGACAGGAGCATGATTTTGCGCCGTGAAATCCATATAGAGGTGTTAATTAAGTTATGAAGGGTTAGTTCACATCAGTCAAAGCATTTCACGTCTAATCGTTAAGCTACTTATTTACACTTACTTATAGTTCCCCATTGATTCCTATATAGTGTTGAATAGATTGATCTACGTCAGCGAATGTGCGCCTATTATACAACCCATGCTTGATGTGTTGCGTCAGTTTTCCTCCTGTTTGAAATGCATCATCTGGTAATAGAGACCGATAACAAATAATACCCGTAGAATAAAGTGTGACTATTGTTATTCCATAGCCAAGAGTGAGATAACGTTCTTGTGTTTCAAGCAATGGCTGTATAGCTAGGTTACAGTCTCAGTGAGATGCCAGTACATCCAGCTGACAAGTTCTTAATAGAAGGGAATATGCATTCTGAATTCCATTGGTTGCCACTACAAGACAACTTACGTTAGGCTACTGGTTGAAACACCTCTTCACCAATTGAGTTTTGTACAGATGTTTTATTATCATTGCCATTACCGTTCTTATCTAACTTTATCATAGATGTAATAATTGATATAGCTGTCCGTAGGTACATCTGACTTCAAATGGATTAATCTACTCCCTGAAGGTTATCTGTTTGACTTTGAGTATGTGGATGATATTGTCGTGCTAGGTGATGATGCTGACACAATGTAGGGTCTTCTGTACACTTTCAGCAGAAATATGAGTGTTTTTGGTACATGTTTCACTTGCATGTGTGATAAGAAGTGAGGTGGTGGAATGTGTCGACCACTTCTCACTTACTTGCAGAGTTGCATCATCTCGAATGCGTTGGTTATTGACTAAATCTCAGCATGGATACAGAAGGCCAGTTTAACACTTGCCAACTTGCATCACCTGTGATGCTGACTGGCGAGATATCCAACTATCAATCAAATGATGAGTATACTACTCTACAATCCGTTCTGTCCTGATATACAGTTGTGAGACACACGGCCATTAAAAGTAGAAGATAAGAAGCAGTTATAGGGTTTTGATCACAGATGTGTTTGTAGCATTGCTGGCGTATTCTGGAATCGCCGTGTGAGGAATGTTGAAGTGAGGTGAAGGGTACTTGACTAGACAGGTATGTCGATCAATGAGGTTGTGAACCTTCATGAAATGAGATGGCTTGAGCATGTACTGCACATGTCATATACCAGTTGACTTGATGTGGCATGTAAGATGAAGTTGGATTAAATTTGGAAGAGGCTTCATCGTTGCCAAATCAATACATGTTGCCAATCGATGAAGTTGTTGACTGTTGGAGTCTGGGTCATGTGGGGGAAATGTAAACTGTCTGGGTGGGGTAGATGTATTCACTTCTAGACATCTAAAGCTTGAATATTCACACTAACCGTTATTCTCGAGCACAACTTTTACTCACCTACCCAGACAACATCGTTTCAACTACGAGGGGCACATGTACAAATGAGGATGTGAAAGCCAGCCATGATCGGAAAGACAGGAAGACAGGCCTTCGTGGATTAATGTGAAATAATAATCAGTGTGGCGATCTGTTGCAGTGTACTGTACTGTACTGTACTGCACTTTATTCAGCATTGATCGTGAACAACATCCGTATTTTGAACAGTAACTGAGTCAAGTAAGTCAGTGCTTCTATGTGATGTTTGGAGAAACTTGGTGAGTAGTGCGAAAAGCATTTGGAACAAAGTGTGGACATGCATGAATAGCTGTGGCCTCCGCTCACTCGATAGTGAAGATGGAGACCAGATGGGTAGAATAATCATAAGGATAAATAAGCGAGAAGGAACTGTTGCTGTGTGGGAACGAAGCAACCAACTGAGAATCTATCATGCGAGGAATATGTAGAATAAGAAAGTGGAGATGAATTGGATTGGATTGGACATAGACTGAGAAGAGTGTTTTGGGACATGATGCGTCAGGTCAGGATAGGCCTGGCTGTCGAGTGGAAGGGAAATTGGAGACGATGAGTTGGGGGTTGGAGGCGAGTGTGACATGGAGGAGATGGTGTGAAGAAGAAATGAAAGGTTATGGGGAGTGGTGGAGTCAGGTTGCAAGAGAAGACTGGAGAGAAGAGAGTGAAATGATGATGGCTATGGCGATGTGTTACTGAATCCATATTTGTTTTTTACTAATAACTCGAGGGAGAAATGATAAAAATGATTATGTCTTCATCACCCAATAGGCAGAGCATGCGATGGGAAACCCGATGTATAGTGATTTGGGAATCCTGCCATTGCTGAAATTGATAATGATCACCGCATATTGCTAATATTAAGAGTAATAATTATAATAATAATTGCTTATTCACTCGAATGAACAATTGAGTCATTTCACCTACTTTTGTTGTCGTTGGTGTTGTTTATTCAACGTATGTACAAGATATAATTCAGTCAGTGCTTTATATATTTGGATCCAAAGTTCGTTGTAGTATTTCAGTAAGATTCTGTTGTTGTTATTGTTGCTTATCTTTCTTCCTTCATTATTCCATCAAGTTTCAATTCATATTGATCATTGAATCAAAGTTCGTTTCATAAAAAAACATTAGTGAATTAGAAGTTGATAAGAATAAATAGAATATACTTTACTTAGTTGTTAGGAGTATTTTCTCTTCATGCCTATGTTCATTTTGGAAACAATATGACCATATAATAATGCTCATTTGTATTCATTAGATAATGAGTTACACTTACCTATTGGTTAAAGGTTCATGATACTCTTTAGTCGCCTTAAACTATCCTAGGTGAGTTGGCGTTTGAACTCGTAACTCATTGGTCGGATGTTATTTGATTTCATAGACAGAAGAAAAGTAATAAGGTTTTATATGGACAAAGAAAGAGAATGGTAGGTACAGCATCACCAGATGCGTATTTCAATCATCACATATCGCTCATGTAAGTGAATACATGAATTGGTCTTCGGTAACCGCTCAACCTGATCTATGTATTTTACCAGACAGTCAGAACAAGTTGATCTAAACACCAAACGGCTGTTTCTCTCATTTGAGGCTGAACCACCTCCGTCAGCAGTGCATCTGGACAAATCCGCTTTATACAGCCGAATTAGTTCAAACCACCTGAATCTTACCTGCATGGACAGGTATAGCTGAGATGGGATGACCAACTTGCAAATGATTCACAAATTCCACGGTCTCACAGATAATTAGTTTTTCAACTACCCAACTATGATTCCCAGTCTTCAAGAAAGGCCAAAAGTCCTCTCGTGATAACCACATAGGTATCAACTTGACGAACATAGTGTTTAAGATCCTAACTTCTATAATTCTTCCACGCCTGAATGGAGCTCGGGAACAGCAAGCTCGAGAAAACCAGGCAGGATTTACATGATCCTGCGGGTGTGTCGACCAAATATTCATACTGCGCCAGGTTCTGGAACATAGACATATTTACCAACCCCCAACAATAGCTGTATTTCTCGACCTCAAGATGGCGGCATTCGACTTCGTTGATCGAGAAGTCTTATGGCAATATCTCTCACTTAAGGTCGTGCCGAGTAGGTACATCACCTTATTGAAGGCTCTCTATTCGA